CCGGACGCTCGGGCGGGGGTGGCCTCCCGTGTATTTATCTAGGTGGGGGGCGTCCGTTGGCGGAGTTTCCGCTCGACCCCCGGCCTCCCGTCCCCGGGGCGACCCGCAGCCTGTGCATCGCGCTCTGCGGCGCCGGGGACACAATGCGAAATGAAATCAAACGCGGTTGATCCGGCGCTGCGAGGACCGAGGCGGGGGGCGGGGTGAGGGCCGGGTGGCATCCGAAGGCCCCCGCGGCTCAGGCCCCTTCCTCCCGCGTCGCCGTTGTTTATTTGGGAGAAGGGGGAGGGGAGCGGAGGGGGAGAGTCCCTCCGAGTGGGGAACCTCTTATCGTAGGCAGCGGAGAGCGGACGTCGGGCTCCGGACCCCAGCCTGCGGCGGGCGGTCCCCGTAAAGGGGAGGGGGCGACGGAAGAGGGTCGCGAGGCTCGGAAAGGGGAGGAGAGCAGCTGGGATCACCAACCGCGCGTTCTCTTCCCCCGCGGCAGGGGCCTCAGGATGGAAATCATCAGTCTGCACCGCCGGAGAAGGTCGGCTGGGTCCGGAAATTCTGCGGGAAAGGGATTTTCAGGGAGATTTGGAAGAACCGCTACGTGGTGCTGAAAGGGGACCAGCTCTACATCTCTGACAAGGAGGTGGGTGCCCTTTGCCTCTGACTCTCCTATCTCCTCGTATTCCCCACTCTGGCTTTCCACGGGGGGCTCATCTACCTCTCGTCTCCCCGTCACCTCACACCCCATTCTGTTCCAAAAGCAAGTTCAGCAGTCGAGTGGGTCTCTACCCCTCATCGAATCTGCAGAGAAAGGTCACCCGTTAGTGAGAAGATCTGAGTTAGAAGTTGAGTGTGCATCTTATTTCATGATTTTTCTTTGCAAATAAATATCTTACTACGATGATAACCCCATCCCAAGATGTCCCAAAAGTTCTAAGTGTCCCTTGCTGCCCCCTACCCTATCCTAGCCTCTAGCTGAATGTAGGATTTTTTTCCTCTGCTATTGCTGCTGAAATACTTTGGGAACAGCAGCTTATTCTCCACCTCTTCCTGTCACCCCGACCCAGCCAGCCCCTCATTTCCTGTCTCTAGCAGGGGCACACACAGGTCGTAGCGCAGCGCAGCTGTCCGGAATCACAGAAAACACACGTACGCCCTGGTCAGTTTCACATGACCACAGGGAGAGTATTTGCGAGTGGCAGACAGTTATTTCTGGTGAAGCCAATGAACCAGTATGCTCTCTGTCCCCCCCACCCTAACGCTAAAAAACCAACAAACAAACAGCAAGGAACTCCCTACCCTGTTTGTATCAAGAGAGAGAAAAACGAAGTTATGAACCCCTGTATGTCTCTATATCTTATGCCCTACAGTTAAAATGAAAACCACAGTCCACACTGAGTCAGAACCTCAGTCCAGACCATTGAATCCAGACTCTTCCCCCTTTGATCTCTAATGTTGGGATCAGTAACACATAGTAATATTGAGAAACTGAAATTGCCCTTCCATAGGTTATAAGTCACTCCAGGCCTGGCCTCTGCGACTGTGTCAGCATAGTCTAGATGACTGTCCTGTGCTCCCTGGTAGGGTGGCCGTCACTCCCCCCATTCCGTGTTGCCTCGCCAGGGCTAACTGGAAAGTCCTCCCTGAGTTCTAACCTCTTCTGCTTTCTGCAGTAGACTATATCGAGGTAAAGAAATCCTTTTATGGTATTGAAACAGACCCACAAGCAGCCCTACAGAAAGTATTCTTCTGAACCGGACATCTGCTGAGACAGCTAGGGAACTAAGCTGTGCAGGGTGTCTAAACCTTGCTGTTTATGCTAAGCGGAGAATTGGTATTGGAGTGAGGCCAGAGGAAGACTTTGACAGGAGGATTTATTTTTAAGGGTCACCTCTGACCAATCCCAAATCCTACACAAAATTTTTCCACAATTTGCTAGCTTTCCATTAAAACAAAAAAGCACGTGTCAAAATGTTATCTCCTGTCTTCCCTGAACTTCATAATGGCAGGAAACTCTAGTGAGCAACCAGGGAGAGCTTCCTGCACTTGACAGGGGAACCTGAGAACAGTGAAAGGGTAGAAGGAACAAGACTTTTTTTTCATGTTTGTATTTGTCCAAAGAATAGAGTCTGGGGGCGAGAGAGGGTGGGTGGTCCTTGTTTGCGGAGGAAGAGGTACGGAGATAGGGGACAGGATGGAATGACTTCAGCCTAGGATGTGTGCTGTCCTATGAGTCAGGAGCATCTGACTGGTCATGGGGACAACTGCTCCCTGCTAAGAAGAGCATAGGAAAAGAGGGACCAAGCCTACTGATACTGCTCTTCTTCGGAGCCAGTTTCCATGGGCTTGGGTCAGAGGACTCTAGGCTTTATTCTGTCCACTTCCCAAAAGGTCCAGAGCCAAGAGATGTCGGAATTTAAAAAAAGAAATGGCTAGTGTAATGTTTGCAATTTACGTGTTAATGCAAGAAAATTCCCAACTTCTCCCCTAGAATTTGCAACAGCCTTTTTCCTTACTTCCCCTCACAAAGGCGGGGTCTGAAACCTGCAACTGTCTCCATCAAAGACTCCTTCTGCCTCTGTGTTGTTAACTGTTTTCCTCATTCTCAGTGGAAGGGCAACTTTTGGTCATGGGCTGATGTATGAGAGCAGAAACTAGACCTTAGGGAGACCTCATGATAGAGGAAATTGGGTTCAGGGCATCTCTTTTGGCAAGTGTGAGAAAAATCCCTTTCTGTGGGCCAGGGACAAGGAATCAAGGGAAAGGAAGGGTTAACTTTGGAAGATGGGTCATTAACGAGGCCATTAGACGGAGGAAAACACTACAGTAGAGAACAAGGGCCTTGGAGCTGTCCATCTCCCCTGGAACGTAAGTCTCCCTGAGTGCCTCACTGCATCTTCTGCCCCTGCTCTT